AGAGAGAGAGAGAGAGAGAGAGAGAGAGAGAGAGAGAGAGATTAGAGTATAGAAAATAAATACGAAAACAATATTATCTATAAATTGCATACAAAAATATGTTGAATAATAATATAATGTATAAATCATACCTCGTATATTCAGTGTTCATAATAAATATTACATAACAATTGAATGTATAATAAATTAGTTTACAAAACGCGTTATTTCATACACTGTACACACAGTGAATACGTTGAATGAATGATTGAAAAATGATTTTCTCCAAATAAAAATTTGAATTTTAAATTTTTGGGATTATAATCAGTCAAACATTTTTGCCTATAATAAAGTGATTTAAAAATGAAAAATAAATCAAAGGTTTTAAGTAAAGTATCGATCGTTTAATAAAAACGGCACAAAATCAAAAGCAAACTTAATATAACAAAAAACTAATTGTATTTTTAATTTAAGTGTTTTGCCAGTGAATGGAGGGACAAAACACTCAATGATAAAATAAAACTAAAACAAATAAAATACAAAAAATAAAATACAAAAAATTCAATTCAATTATACAATACTTGAGATGTTTTGGTATTTTTTGCACAACTCATCGCTCTTTTTGAACCAAAAAATGTGAACAAAAATAATAAAATAAAATCTAAAATACAGTAAATATTGGGGCGAAAGGCAGAGAATATTCTTACAATGAATTACTGTTTAAAAAACTTAACATTTTTCTCGATTCGTCCAAAACAAAAGTAAAAATAAAATTAAAGTAAAGCTTTTCAAGTATTTCTTAGTATGTTATCGCAATATAACGTACAGTTTACACAATTCAGTGCAATGTGTGATCATTTATAATCTTGCCCATATTAATTTAATTAATAATTTCCTATTTTATTAATTAAAAGTGAAAAATATTTGTATAATTATTTCATCAATTTCAGTGCATTTAGTTTGGAAATATTTATCATTGAATGATTTGTTTATAATAACGGAAATTCATTGTATATTGTATTTTAATCGAGAGAGAGAGAGAGAGAGACTTAGAGAGAGAGAGAGAGAGAGAGAGTCAAAAGCTATAGAATTACAATAGCGAACAGACATAACGCTCAGAATATTCTCGTATTTTAGTGTTATTTTCATTTTATATCTAAAAGTTTTTTATATGAAATTTTGAGTCCTAAGATGAAAAATCAATTTAAGCCCAAAATTGTTATATGAAAATAAAAATAAAATAAATAACTCAACAAATATTATATTCAATTATATATCGATTGCAAAACATAAGAGCTGTAAAGAAATATGGATTTATATATTTTTGGTCGACTAACAAAAATAAAAATGAAATTTTTAAAATCATAAATTGTTGTGATTATAAGTAATCCCTTTCCCTCCCAACAAATTTTTGATGCTTTTATTGAGTTTTAATGCCGATTATTATATAACAATTTTTAAATCGATATAAACTTTTTGCGTTTATTTTATATATTATTTGTTATGGAATACAATTATTTTATATAAATATTTTTAAAAATATTTAGCTTAATGTTTTTTTAATAAACCCACATATTAGCTTATAAATTGTCATTATACAATTTGTTTTTAAATTAAAAAATAGAAAAATAACTAACATAATAATATTTATTTACTAAATACCAATTTTTATAAATACCGTAAATTTACTGTATATACAGAATCACAAGAATTTATTACAAAATAGTTTTCCAATAATCAAACAATTTTTATTAACTTTATCACAAACTTTTATATATTATCAGTAATATTTGGTAATGTTTTTCACATATATTTGGCTAATAAAACATCAATGACAAATAAAATAAAATCACTTCCCATTCCCCAGTTTATGGCCGGTATTATCCGGTTATTTATTGAGACACTATATGGCACTCAATGGGTATCTTATAGGCCATCACGTCATTGATGTCCTCATTGAACGAGTCGTATATCTTAATGTGGGCCTCGTTTTGGCCGTACATCGCGTGCTTCTGTATCACCGGTACTGTGAAACAGGACGACTGTCCACTCGGTTGCTGTTGTCTATACATCGGACGCATAAATAGCATCAATTCCGGGCCCCGTCTCTTGTATTTGGTTATCACTTCCGTGTCGTCCATCATCTGATTTAATGATATGATTATTATATATAAGGATATTCTTTGTAAACAGAATATTCTGTTATATTTTTAAAAATATATTCTATATTTCATTGATTCTTATGTACTATTTTATTATTATTATGTTATCAATTAATTTAATCAATTCATTGATTGTCTAAAGTTTGGAAACTTTTTTGTTTGTTATTTAACTTTTATTTCTACAGTATTTGCGATGCATTTCAATGAATCCAAAAGTCGAGGAAAATATATTTACTTTTGCTTTTCCTTTGTTTCAGAATTACTGTTCATTTGTTATGTTTGTTAATCAACTAAATGTTGTCTCATTTATCTAAAGCCGCCACTAAAACAGACTAATTATTAGATTTCTTACATAACAAACACACAAAAACGTCCTTTGTTTCAGAATTACTGTTCATTTGTTATGTTTGTTAATCAACTAAATGTTGTGTCATTTATCTAAAGCCGCCACTAAAACAGACTAATTATTAGATTTCTTACATAACAAACACACAAAAACGTTAATATCTAATAAAATCTCATTATGTACTTCAGTACAAACCAACTGAACCTCTATTTATACTAAACATAATTCAGTGCATAATAGTGTAGTCACTGTGTCTATTGATGTACACTATACATAGTAAATGAGTATACAGTATCATTTGCTTTAATTAGTACAGTATACAGAGATAGATAAATACAAATGTGTATATATACTGCAAATACTGTATAAATTATGCGATAAATAAATGTCTTTACATTGTGTTGAGAGACAATACATTTGGCAAATCATGACTTTGTTATATGTTTTAATCACTCAAATGCTGTCATGTTTTTTGTGTCCCTTTTTGTGTTCACTTCTTAAGGAATATATTTTTTGCCATTTTCTATAAACAACTGATTGCTATCACAACAACAGACTAATGGATTATTTTCTTTGTATTAAATTTGATATTTTTCATAACATATTACAAATAAATAAGACATTTGTTATAGAGTTGTCGTATTATTTAGTCTTTTATGATAGCATTAAATATATATTTTATATGATCTCTCTCTCTCTCTCTCTCTCTCTCTCTCTCTCTAATAAAAACAAATAAAACAAGTCTAAAACCTAAAACTTTAAGTATTTTCTATTACTTTCGGGAAAATTCTGTAAATATCAATATACTACAGAAAATTCTATAAACTTTTTTCAAATATTTTATACAATATATGCATTTATTATTATAAATGAATTATTCATTCAAACCTTTTTCAATAGGTTCCGGTCCACTTCAAAACCGGTGACCATTTGCATGATAACCACTGGATGTAGTGTCGCATTAAATGTCTCCCTTTCCTCAATACAGACATTCAGTCGCCGGTTATTGCAACTGACGACTCCGTTATCCAAACCATTCATTTTGATGTCAAAATACGTGCCTTTTGTGGCCATTTGGGTCTTAACGGCAGTGTTGGCTACCATCACACAACCCCTTCCCTTCATCGACATCTTCATACCGGTGCTCTGAATATTATGCTGAGTCTGAGTGGCATTCAATAGCAATTGAGATATCATTGCGTTATTGTTGTCCATAATCTACAAAATAAGTGTTATTTGTTAAACAAAAATATGTTTTACTTGTTAATATTCTGTGTCATAAAATTAATATTATGTTAATTTTCGCAGGCAATTTATTTTAATTATTATTTGCAAAATTGAATACAAAATAAGTTAATTTTAAGTCAAAATTACTTTAATAGATTTAATAACTCTATTAATGTGCAAAATAATAGCTTATTATTTGCCTCAATAATTGCTTATTATAGCAATAAAGCCAAATATTCTTTGCCTAAAAATAGAGTACTTAAGTTATATAATACATTATTCTTACAAAATCTCTTTCACCAAAAAAGTCTGTCACAGAATATTCTGTAAGCTATTTATGTAGTAATATATATAATATATTGTTATTCACTGCTATAGTAGACTATACAATAAATTTTGATTTATAGCCTAATTATGGGGCTCAATAGTATAGCCATTGTTGTCAAGGTCTGTGAATAGTGCACAATATACTCACAGAATATTCTCTATATTAATATAAACACATAATATATTCAATTACTATTTTGTAAAATTACAAAAAATATCTAGTATAATACTGTATATTAAATTTCACAGAATATTCTGTATAAAAGTACCCATGAATCGTATGCAATCTAATGACATGGAGGGCATACCTCAACAGTGGCCGGGGATCTCATATTAGCCATAACGGGCCACAGTTTAGTAATAGCGTAGCAACTGATAGGTGTGCGCCAGAGGGCCGACATGTCGTTGGGCACGTGGATCAGGCGCTCACCGAAAGCCTTGGCACCACTTTTATCGTTGGACAGGAGGGCTGACAGCGCCAAATAGGACACCATTACCTCATCCATGACCTCGTCGTCGTTTTTATTAACATTATGTTTGTTGTGATTAATCATCGCTTTCTTCACGGCTTTCATCCAGACGTCCGACTCTAACGTATTTCCACTCAATATCTTAAGGCGTTTTTAATGTGAAGTATTTTTTCGGTATTTTTTGTGTTCAAAATATATGACACAAAATGTGATGTGAAAGTGAAAAACAAAAATATAAAAAAGTTTGAAATACAATAAATGTCTCTAAGAAATATGTTTTTGTGATATAAATCGATAGTAAAGTTATTGTGAATAGATTTTATAAGCTCTCTCTCTCTCTCTCTCTCTCTCTCTACTCCCCCTTATAAATCAATAAATATTTTAACAAATTAATAAAATATCGCTTAAACAAATTAACTATAATGACATAATATTTTTATAATAACCTAATATAAAACTGGTCAACACAGTTTTCAATCACAGAATATTCTGTACCTGAATATAGTTGTAAAGTATAGCCGTGAGTGGTTTGAAGTCAATATTTGTCAAAAACTGCTGCGAATTCTGTGACAAACAATTGTAGGCCTTATATAATGGTTTGGAGCTATAGTCCAGGCCTACAAAAAACAATAAAAAAAAGTTTTCCAATAAAACTCACAAAATTGAAAACAATTTACTCAACATTTTGCGACAAATACCTGACTCTAGTAGCGACGCCAACACGTAGGCCGTGAGCTGGTAGTCGTTCTCTAAAACAATAAAAAAAAGTTTTCCAATAAAACTCACAAAATTGAAAACAATTTACTCAACATTTTGCGACAAATACCTGACTCTAGTAGCGACGCCAACACGTAGGCCGTGAGCTGGTAGTCGTTCTCAAAGTTCATGGGCCACACATTGTACACACGACTGGCCTCCCGGTTCACTTTGAAACAGCCATCGGTAGCCTGTTGTCCGTAAATCCATCGCAAGGTATCCTTCAGTTTGTTGACTCTCTGGCCGTTCACCATCTGCTCGGAGTAAGCCATGTATGGCCGCGATTGGGCCAACACTTTGAACACACTGACAGTCAGTCCCAACTCGCTTCGGGTGGTGTCGTGTCGGTGCCGAGACTTAAGCATACCGTACGACCCATCCATATGCCGGTAGGTCATGAGGGACTGGTAGGCCCGAGACATCTCCTCCATTACATCGGATTTCTTGTGCATCCATGAGCTCGTGGTTTGGTTGTTGAGGTATTGGTAGAGATAGTAGGCGGCCGAGTATGTGGACAGGGAGTCCATGGCGTTGTGATTATGAACAGACATCGTCTTCTTGATGTATGTGTACATCGGCTCCAGTATGTCGTTCGTGACAATCATATTGCTGCTGATGTCGGAGCTCGACATCATTTGTGACAAGTCTTGGATTTTTATGTCAGATTCGGCTATAGATTGACGGGATGGGAGGAATGGGAGGGAAGGAAGAGATAGAGTAAGTGAGAAATGAATTGGTATTTTATTGCGGAAAAAACTTTTCAAAACTTATAATTACTGTATATAGACATTAATATTATGCAATGAATTATACTGAATATATACTAAATAATTAAAACTATAATTAATACATGCATTAAATAACATATAAAATTATATTTACTTACGAGTTAATAATGCTTAATAGGCTAGGAATTAATGCTTTAATATCTCTATTACTTTTAAAATGTTTATGAACTCACAGAATTACCTAACCTAACCTATAATAGTTAAAATGACTGCTTAAAATAAAAACTTTTTGAGTGGTAAATAAATAAGATATGTATAATAAAAATTATACTTAAAATAAAAGTCGCAGAATATACTCAACTGTTTCTCACAATATTATTGTGATTATTGCAGACAACTTGATGGTTGAATTTGTTGGAGACAATGCCCATCGGACTAATGGCCAGTTGTTTGATAATCATTTGGGGCTCAAAAGTGGTCATTTGTGAAGAGTATATCGTTTGAGAGCATTGTGTGTCTGCCATCATATCAGTGGCATACTTGGCCATAAGTTTCACTTTAATGGCACCTACTTTCTTAGGCTTAATTACCACTTGCATTGGTTGACCAGTTTGGCCGCAAATGCACTGACTTTTCGGGTTAGCAGCCATTAAATCATAGTATTCCGAGGGCTCCACCATCAGCTCAACCTAACAAACATTTATATGAATTCATAAAATGTAAAAAAGTTTTATAAACCTATAATAGCTAGAATAAATGTTTAAAAATTAATTTTTTTGGGTTATAAATAGATAAGATAGGTAGAATAAAAATTATACTTATAATGAATTATTAAGTTAAAATAAAAATAAAGTTTCAAAAAGTTTGTATATATTTACTGGCAAACATTGACTCATTTGAGATAAAGGTGCCATGGGCTCAACCATCACTTTATAAACAAGTGAATCGCCAATCCTAGCCTCCATGGGGGCCGACATCACAGTCATCCGCACCGACTGTTTCTTTTTGTTCATTAGCTGTCCATTTGTGTCGATAACACTACTGGCATACGTAATGCCAGTGCCCTTATTGACACATACGGTGTCGGCGTATAATTGCTGAGAACTCTGCACTAATTCGTGACTAATTTGTCGATCAATACTACCGGTGCTGTCGTCCGTATTGACTACATTCCAGTCGAGAACTTCATTGAATAGGGATCTCTCCATATCCTGTCAATGAATGCAAGTTATAGATCTCTATGAATGTCTGTATTTATACTATTTATACAGAATATTCTGTAGTATACCTGCATTTGATACATAGCATAGGGCTTGTTAATCATTTGTTCCTTGATCACATATTTCATTTGATTGTTTCGTTTCAGTTCATTCAACTGCGAGAGAATATCTGTGGGATAGAGATCCCAATCGCAGGGACTGTCGTCCAGTTGTGTGTTGGACTGGACGGCCAGACCCATCGAGTTAAACGCGTCCCACGCGTCCCCATAATTGATAACCGGGTCATATGTGTTGGTAGCCATTGAGTCCAAGCCTATTACAGCAACCAATAAAATAATACAAAATCAGTGGATATTTATTTCAATGTTGATAATAGTGATGAGAAATCTTGTTATTGTGAAGCTATTCAAAAGACAAGTTGTATAGCAATTGATTTGATTTAATAGTACTTGTAATTAGATTATCGATAATCAATATTATCCTCAAATGTAGTCATTGCTAGTAATGTAACAATTCTTAGATTAAACTCTCTCTCTCTCTCTCTCTCTCTCTCTCCCTCTCTCTCTCTCTGTGTTTTGCAACTGTNTGCATAAACTGTTTGCTAAATGAAAAGTACTTTTAATATAAACTCTATATTATAGAGTCTATAAGAAAGTGATTGAATTAGTCTAAGTCATGTAAAGTCTTATTTAATTAGCAGTCTCTCTCTCTCTCTCTCTCTCTCTCTCTCTCAATCTCTAAATGTTAAATTGATTGAAGACTAACCATACGGTGCCATATAAGGCGAATAATTGGACTCCATTTCCATTTTCTTCAAGCCATACATTTTCTCGCATTTATCTTTCGATTGAAACTCTTGTCTCACATTAAACTTATCGATGAATTCATTGATTCTCTTTAGGGAATAGTAGGGCTTATTCTGCGACACACGCGTAGCACAGGTAGCACTTCGGCCCTCAGTCTTCAGCTTTAGGTTTAGAGCACCGGTAGCTGAGTCAGTAGTGCCACTGATTTGTGTGATATGTTTGTTATTTTCAATACAAGTGGTCAAAAAGGCTGACGAGTCGGCGATTAATTGGTTAGTATTTGGGTCCAAATAATACATCAAAATTCGTGTCATTTGGTTATTATGAAGCGCCGGCTGTTTCGGGATTTTTATTTTCATTTTGGATACAGTGATCATATCGTTGTCCACATATGGCATCGACTTATTTTGTATCATATTTTTGATCATCCATTTCTGGGATCTACCGAATTGATACACCTGAGGCTCGTTTATCATACCGTTCCCCATAATCTAGCAAAAAAATTAAAATATTAAAAATTAAAATATTAAATAATAAAATACTAGTATACAATTTGATTAAAGAATTTGTTAATTTTATACAGTATATTTAAATAAATACAATTGCTGTCAAACTATCATGTTATTTTTAAATTAATATTTTTTAAAAATTGCTCATTGTAGTAAATTTTATGCATGGTATATTGTGATAATGACCAAGGTATACCTGATAATAGACTTTAGGCATTTGTATACCACTCATTTGCTTATTGAAAAGTACGTCAAACTCGACAGAATCCCCACAAATCTGACTATTGATTATGGGCTTAATGGCCATAACCTGAGGACCGGGGCTATAGGTGGGCTCCAACATCATCGCTCTCGTAACGGACGGGTATTTCACGGACTGGACCCGGATTTCCATCTGTTTGATCGACTCAGTCATCGGCGGTATTATGAACTCAACCATACCGGTGCTG